GTGTAAGGCTGTAAAAATTATTCGTCCTGGGCGACGAATTGGGTATACAAAAATTATAGATGTGTTGTATTGTATTAATAGTTCCAAATTTAGGAAATCTGAAAACTTCAGATTTTAAAATAGGATTCTTGATTTTATTTGGTAGAAGTGCTTTAATCAAACTTTGAAAATTCCTAAGAAGAGAAGCCATGTAGAGATTTTATGTCACATTTTTTACAAGGTGGTTTGGCCTAAAGTTATTAAGGTCTAGTGCTTGTTCTCTTCACTTTAATTCGGCGTATGTTTTTGTAGAACTCTTGCTTAATTTACATTTCAGTATGATTAGTGGCGGACGTAGAATATTTAGTGTGGAGGGGCACTAAATAAAAAAATAAAATAATAAAATGCTTGTATAAGGGCTTGAACCTAAGACTTTTAGTCCAAACTCAATGCATTACCACTATGACAAAGATAATTTGATATTATTTATTGCATTAAAATTGTATTTAACCCATAAATTTACACACACTTAAATAAAAAATAAAAAATTTGGGGGGGCCGGTGCAGCCCAGGCCCCTTCATAGATCCGCCTATGATTGTATAACTATTACATGCACTGTTTTTTTTCAAGAGTTGGGAATACGAAACATGCTTTTGTGTGATAAGTTTGATTGTCTGTCTCTAACTTGTTTATGTAGGGGTTGGATTTGGGGGTTAGCATAAGTTATTTGAAAATTCTATTGTAGTTTCAAGGTGCATCAACATTTTATGCATCTTTGGAGTGGTGATTGGAGCTAGGGGATGTTTGAAGAATTCTTGTCTTTGCACTTTTTATCATCATATTTATAGTTACCATTACACATGACTGTTTATTGGGATCGATATTGTTTGTGGAGCTCCATTTATTTCTTGATTGTGGCAGGAGCATAATATATTTATGCTACTTTTCTTAAATAAGAAACTGTTAAGGTTTTTTCATTTCACTTTTCTTTCTCAAAAACTTTGTATATGTATGACTAGAAGAAGTAGCTTGAATTGGCATTGTGAAAGCTTCCTTTCTTGCATTGTATTGCTAATTTTTTGGCTCTGCTAAACTGCTCTCATCTATTCATAATTGTTTAGCTCTGAACCACTTATGTGGTTCTCAGTTCTCACTGCATTGTCTGTCGAAATATGAACCTATTTTAGTGTTAGAATTTCATATCCTATTGATTGAGAATCAATTATGCCTATTGATTGAGAATCAATAGATTCTGATCTTTATTGTGTGTTAGTAGCTAATGTGCCATGGGTGGGAATATTAGCATCAACTTTGATCACTCTAGGAGTGTTATGTAGGCTATGCGGGGCTTGAACCCACACCATGTACACTACTGTACATTGCTCTACCCATTGAGCTAATAGCCTTGAAAAACAAAACACTTGCATATCTCATCGATGTTCACCACAATCCACCCACACTAGCATATCTTAGAGTGTTCACCTAAAAAATATTTTCTTTGGCACCAAAAGTGAAGACACCATATCACTATCAGAGTATCATCATTAAATCAAATCTCACCAAGTAAGATACACTACAACGTAACCTGAATACAATATACAACAAAAATCGACCAATTCGGATCTTTCTATGACGATCTTGCTATGAGCTAGTCTAAAGAGGTCCAATTGCCCCCAACTTAATTCCTTCCAAGCTTAGAGTAAATGTTTCAGAAAAACCCACATTATCCTCATCATTGCAAGTTCTAATAATCTAATTTTTAGTTCTTGACATGAGCATAATTCCTTAACTTCCAACATAATCGAGTACATAGCTACACTAATCCAAGCAAAAAAAAAAAAAAAAAAAATCCCAGAAATCATTACAAAAAAGAGCAATTGAATTTCACAAATTGCAGTTCAAAAGAATCAAAGAAATTAAACTACACCAATCCAAGCAGAAACCCAGAAATTACCCAAAAAACACTAGAATTTAAGATATATAGCAGAAAAAACTTCGAAAATGGGCGAAAAATAAAAAGGGAAAAGAGAGTAGACATTTTCACTGGCAAGCTTGATGCAATTACGAAACAACTCCATAATTTGATCACCATCAAGGCAAGAATTCGAGGGAGAAGAAGGAGGAGGACAAAGAAGATCATCTTCGGCAAGTTTACGGCGAACGGCGGCGCCTGCGGCACGGGCTTGAGCGCGTTAAGTTTGTCGTTTAAAGGCGAGTAGAAATTGAAGCTCTTCGTTTTTGTAATGGTGGATTTGGACCTTGAACCAATTGCTCGAAAATCAAATAGTTGCAAATTTACGAAGTCGATTTTTTTTAAGAACCCTAATTTATCGAAGAAAAGGGGAGGATTTGAAGAGCCTGCAACGGTGTTAAATTAATCGGTTGAAATAAAAATGTGGATATGATTTAAATGGGGGTAGGTTAGTAATTCACTTGATTAGAGTTAATAATCTAACCCTAAACGAGTGGTTAACCCATTCTAAGTGAGATTTGGCCACTAAATAGAGTTTAATGAAAGTTTGGGTTCACTAGAGATTATGTGTTTTTTTTTTGACACCATATAGAATTTGTAAAAGGATGATGTGTTAATTCGGGTGATCGGAAGGATTTGATGTGGTCAGGTGGGTCGGGTTTATTTGAATACGGGTTCTACGAGCACTAAATTATTATGTGGCATACAAGTTGAAATTTAAATCGGTTTTTATTCAGGTTGTATTTGGATCGTGTTGGTTTGAATAATCAATAATGTTTCATAGCGAGAGATGTTAATTCAAGTGTATGAGTCGGGTTTAAATTGTGTTCAATTCATAATCGAGTTAGATTTTGGTCGAATCAATGTACTCAAGTCATACTTTAGTAGGGTCATATCATGTAATTGGACTGATTTACGCAATTACGTGAGTTGACTTTAGGTTGGGCCTTGTCTAAGTTAGTTCATGTGGACTCATATGGAGTAAATAATAGTGAATTTTTTTTTTATTTACAGAGTATTATAGTATCTGTGCACTAGATAGTGCAAGTGCAATGTCCTGGGTTTAAACTTAATACATCTATTTTTTCAAAAAAAAAAAAAAGAAACAAATTGTAGGCAATTACTTCCTCCGTTAACCATTATCTGCAACTTTGGACATAATCACGAACTCCTAGGCAAAATTTGCTAATGTTATTTAGGAAATGTTAGGGAAAGTAATTAAAACAAAGGAGAGAGAGAAAGTGGGACCTGCCCACATGTTTCTTTTGCATGGAAATCTGATTTTGGAGGGGAACCTTTTTTCCCTCCTTACTTTTTGGCCAAAATTTAAAATTTCACCCAAATTTTTTCCCACCAACATAAACTTCAACTTTTCCATTCACATTATAGTGGCTTATAAATACCAGCCACCACATTTAATGTTCATCACCATATTCTTGTTTCACCATTAATACAGACCAAAATGTAAACATGTTTCCCAAAAAATTAAGTTAGCATTAATTACACATCATAATCCCATATTTATCCAAAAGACTACCCCTGATCTAAATTAGTGCTCTAATATAATCAGCACCATCTTCATTGTGCTCTCAAAATCGTGGCAGCTTCACCAGCACCAAAAAACGACTTCAGCCACCACCTTTTCTTCTTCCTTCCACTCTGAAAATAAAAAAAAGCAGCTAGTGTTCAAAAAAAAAAAATAAAATAAAAAACCAAGTACAGAACAATGGATGATAGAGCTGTCAGTTTCTGACCCGAACCGTTAAACCCGACTGTTTCGAACCGATCCAAAAAGGAACTGAACTGTTTAAAATCCGTTTTTTGGAAACCGAAAACTAACCCGACCCAATTTTTTCCAACCCGAAACTAAACTGAACCGAATTTGTGCGAACCGTTACTAACCCGACCCGTTATTAAGCCAAACTATAGCAACCCAAAACTGAAAGCAACCCAAACCGATTATGTTTAAACCCGATAGTAACCCGACCCGTTTTATACCAAAAACCGTTAAAACCCGATAAAAATCCGATAAACCTAAATCGTTCCAACCCGTAACCCGTTGTGACCGAACCTAACCCGTTGTGACCGAACCGTTTACGACCCGTAACCCATTGTGACCAAACCGTTTAAAACTCGTAACCCGTTATGACTGAGTCATTTACAACCTGTTACCCAATATGTTTATGATCTAATTTGTTTCAACCCACTACTCGATAAACCCAACTTATTTATGACTTGACTTGATTATAACATGACTCGTTCCTACCCGTTATCTGACTAATTCAACTCGATAATCATCCGACAAATTTTAACATGATATGATTTGATTAGAATCCCGCTTCAAATTAGGTAAACTCGTTTTCAAACCAACCAAGTTCAATCTAAACCGATTATAACCTTAAACGATAATGATTGGACCCGATTTCACCCGAGCTGTTTTGAACCGAAACCCATTTTCGAACCTACCCAGTTAAACCCAAACTGATTATGACCTGAACCAATTACGACCCGTCCTGATTAAGACCCGAATTGTTTTTAACCGAAACCCACATTAAACGGGCTAAACCCGTTTTCAAACCGACCCGGTTCAACCCAAATTGATTATGACCCAAACCGACTAGAACCCGACACGATAAGGACCTGATCTGAATAGAAACTGCAATTAAAAAGTCGAAACCAAACTGACCCGATAATTTTCTAAATCGACCCAAACCGACCCGCTTATTATTTCAACCAGTTATAAACCGACCCGTTATAACCCGAAACTGATAAACCCAACCCAAACCCAAACTGGTTAACCGAATTGACACCCCTAATGGATGATCATTATGGATATGATGATCATTTCTATGGAGTTGATCAAATGTTGATGGATGAAGAAGATGCAGAAGATGCTTATGAGTTTTCAGACCTTGAATCTAAAAATGATGAAGATAACAACCAGCAATAGTAGTTACAGAACAATCAAGAAGTAGATGCATTTCAACAACCATAACCAACATCAAGAAAACAACTGAATTTGGATAAAAAAGAGAAATCATTGATGCAATGTTACTTGAAATGCAAGATGGTCAGCTAAGAAGGGGACTCAAGGCTCAATTTGCATTGAGATTTGAAGTCCATAAGTCAACAATCACAAGAGTATTTGATGATCTAAAGAAGCAGATGTCAGAGGAAAATGTGATTGATGTCAGAAACAAGAAGTTGGGGACATGTGGGAGAAAATCAGTGGAATATTCAGATGAATTTCTCCAATCAGTGCCTCTGTACAAGAGAACTACTGAGAGAAGCTATGCAGCAGCTCTGAAGTTATCACATGTCACCATACAAAATCTGAAGAAAAGAGGCAGACTCAGAACTCACACAAGCACCAACAGACCAGCACTTACTTCTAATCATTAGGTTGCAAGGTTAAAGTGGGCTTTAGCTCATGTTAATCCAATTCCTGCAGTTGGGGACCCAACATTTGTGAACATGCAAGAGACAATTCACATTGATGAAAAGTGGTTCTGGTTGAACCCAGAAACAAGGAGGTTTTACTTGCTGCTAAAAGAGGAAAATCCATACAGGCGCCAACAGTCCAGAAGGTTCAAAATCAAAGCCATGTTTTTGGCAGTGGTTGGTAAACCCCTATATGATGCTAACAAAAACTTGCTACATGATGGAAAATATGGTATTTTCCCTTTTGTGTTAAAAAAAGAGCATTAAAGTCAAGTAAAAACAGAGTTGCCGGAACAATGGAAACAAAGGCAATAGAGAGTGTCACCAAGGAAGTGACAAGGAAAATATTGATTGAACAAGTTATACCAGCAATCAAAATCAAGTGGCATCCAAGCCTACCTAAAAATGTGTTCATACAATGGGATAATGCAAGACCACACCAAATCCCAACAGATGCAGAGTTTCAAGAAGCATGCACATCAGAAGTTCAACATACAGATGGTTTTCCAGCCAGCCCAGTCCCCTGATATGAATGTGCTTGATCTAGGGCTGTTTACCTCAATCCAATCCATCCAATATCAATCTTTTCCAGAAAATTTGGATGATTTGGTTGAGAAGGTAAATGAGGCTTATGTTGTTTTTGATCCTAAAGTCAATAGGAATACATGGATCACATTGCAAAAATGTATGACTGAGATAATGATTAAGAATGGAGGCAATAACTACCCACTACCACATATGGGAAAAAACAGGTTAGAAAACCAAGGGATTCTGCCAGAACAGTTAGAGGTCAGCAGGGACATCATTCAACAAGCAGTGGAACATCTCAACACTTTGTTCAGGAAAGTGAACCAAGAAGATGATGAAGACACACAAATGCAGGTAGATGCAGATTAGAAGAAAAAGCAATGTGCAACAACCTTTTGGGACATAGACTGCCACACATAACCACATTATTTTGTGTAAGCAAAAACAAGTAGTAGTAGGGTACTTGTAACTTTTAGCTTTCTTTTGGGTGGTTAGGTGTATTTTGGTTATTAGGAAGAGAGGAATGTCCAAGGTAGTCATGTAAGAGCAATGGTTGTATTTAGGACTCAGCTTTTGTAATGGAACAACATTAATGAAAATCAAACTTTTGGCTATAAATTTGGGACTCATTTTTTTGACTTTCATTCAAGTATTCCACTACTCAATGTTCAAGAAAGGCAGAACTTTTTCCATCAGAGGGATTATTCTTTTTTTTTTTCCTCAACACCTTATGTGCAAGTGATTTCCTCAACAACTTTCATCACAGAAGTTGGAGCTAATGACACTTACCAAAGGTACATCAAATGAGTCCCTTCATCACTTGGAAATGACATACACACATCAATAAAATTGTATGGCATCCATTATCAACCTTAAAGTAACAGAAAAGAGAGGCAATCAACATGCTTAACCTACAAATTTGGGACTCATATGTTCTCTCACATAATGCTCATTGAGAACAACATCAAATGAGGGAAAACCATAGATCATACATCAATTCACATCATACATGTATCATCATTCATCAATCACATTTCCTCTTACTCTAGCACAACAACATCAACATAGAAAAACAACAAACCAACATAACCAATTCTCAGGGACTCATAAACAAATCAATCCACAACACAAATACACATCAACACCAGTAACAACCAACAAGAATGAATAAATGATTTGAGACTCATAAAAAAAATGAAAGAATAACAAATTTAGGTTTATATATCGTTACTGAATGCTTTATTCAGTTGGGGAAAGCACAACTCCCAACTCATCCTCAGTATCATGCCCTTCAGGGACTCCATCATTTGGATCTGCAGGAGGAGGAGCAGCAGCACCACCGACTTCCTGGGCCACCATAGCAGGAGGAGCACCATCCCCAACACCACCTTGATTAGGATCTTCATCATCAGAAATGTCAATCACCCCAGTCAGCTTAGCCCCACGAATTCTGCTTCTAGCAACCAAAGTAGCGCGGCGCCTAGATCTGATAGTGGTAGGAGGTGCCTTAGAAACCTCAGATCTGGGATTCTTCGCAGCAGAAGAACCCTCACCCTCACCAGAAGCTCCCTCCTTGGTGAAATCAAGCGCCCTTTTGCCTCGACGCCTGATTTCCTCTCTCCTACCTTTCTCAACGTCATCAATGGACTGTAGAATTTCCCCAAGGGCTTTCTAGGTGTAATCGCTTATGTATGGACCCCTATCCCCAGCATCGTACATCCTATGAGGCCAAGGGGAGTCAGTGTTGAAGGAGTGAATCAGCATCTGAATGATATCACCTTCCTCTTCAACATCAGTCGCAAAGAAGGCATCGTGAAGTGGATCTAGGTTAATCATTGTTACAGGGACTCAATTGTAAAGAGGAATCAACCCTCAATTTGACAGAATCAAATATAGAGAGCACAAGTAACAGATTTGGGAGATTAACCCAAAAAAGAAGAGAGAGAGTGTCGAAACCCAGAAAAGAAGACAAAGAGATGAACCTAGAAACGAGAAGAGGAGAGAGAATGAGGAAGAAGATGAACATGTTTAAAGGGAGATGAAGAACCCTAGATTGTTCTTCCAATTAATGCAGGCAGTTGGGGAAATGATTTAATGTGGGTAGTTGAGGTGGGGTGATTGTATGGGAAATTGGTGGGAATGGTTAGGGTAATCCTAAAATCTGATTAATTGATCAAATATGATTAGTGAAGATAATAGGCAGATTTATATTTTTAAATAAGGGAATTTTAGTCATTTTGCTATGTTTTTTTACTAAAAATGGAAAAAAAAATTGTTGCACATAATGTTAAGTGTCCAAAAATAGTAAAAGTTGCAGATAATGGTTAACGGAGGAAGTATATATTTTTATTTGATAAATTTTAGTTGGCTTGGAGATGGTGTCATGTTATGATCTAATACAGTAATACCATGTCATATCATAATAAAGCCAGATCTCATAGCCAAAATACGAGACAACGAAACTTGACATTATAATTGGTTGGAGGTTAGTGTTGGGCTGCTAGTCATGGTTGAGGCTTATAGATTGTTGCAGTTATTGTGAGGGATTTTTGTTGTTTGTTGGTGGTCGGCTGGTGTGTTGGACTTAATGATTTTGATGATGACACAACCTCACTTACTTATCAACTAATAAGTGCTTGATTGTTTAAGTGTGTGCTCAGTTGCAAAGACCAGGAGAATTAAGTGTCTTGTAAAAATACCATGAGGAACAAGAAGGCCAAAATCAGAGTTATCCATAAAGAAGAGTTCTTTTTCAGGAACTGGTGCTTCAGAAATGAAGACTTGAGAAGAGAAGGTTCCCCTTAGGGAACAGAAGCTTCATCAGAAAAGAGAAGTTCCTTCAATTCCAAGGAACAGGAAGTCTCGGAGTAGAAGCTTCATCAGAGACATGAATACTAAAATATATTTTATATTCTAGGATTTATGTAAGTATAAGATATTAAATTGCACTCGAAAAATCTGTATGGAATTGGTCTAAAAAGATAATATTGTGCATGCTACTTTTTAGGAAAGTTGTTATTCTCTAACGATTATCTTTTCAAACAAAAAGAGGATTTCATTTTATTTCTGATTTTCAAAAATATCTTCTGAAAATAAAATCTCTCACGTTTTCTAAAAGCTTGCGGCCTACTCCTCCATGATTTTCTTCAAGTCATGGTCTTGCACATTGAGGAGTTCATGTTTCCTTAATTTTAGGAACATGATCTTCTTAGTGGATTGGAGTAGTGGCGTAGTGGATTTGCTGCACAAAGAAGTTTTTCCTAAACGAATTTTGGTTTATAAATAGCTATTGATTTCAGAAGGAAAAACTCACCCTTGCTCACATAAGTTTTCAAGATCTAATTCGAGTTAAAAGTCCAATTCCACACAAGTTAATTAGAGTGTTCTTAATGTTCTTATACTAGAGTTTTTATTTCTTCTTTCGAATTGTAATTTGAGGAATGGGGAAGTTTGAGTGAACTTTTGTATATGAGAAAGAGAAGTGAGAAAGAGAAGTGAGAAAGAGAAGAGAAAGAGAAGAGAGAACAGAGAAGTGAGAAGAGAGAAAGAGAAGAGAAGAGTAACAAGTTGGGTGACTTGTTCCTCGGGGTTTCAAGTTCGTAGAGGAACTTGAGTGTGAGTCTTTAGTTTGTAATAGGACCATTTGCCCTATTCTAGTGAAAATTCTTTTCCCAAAATCCCAAGTGGTCGTGGTTTTTCTCCTTGTTAGGGCCAAGGAGTTTTCCACGTAAAAATCTCTCTTGCATTATTTAGTTCCTTTAGTTAATCTTTCTGTTCCTTTAGCTTACTTAGTTTTTAATTTCGCAAAAAAGTTGGCTAAATTCTCATACTACAATTCAACCCCCCCTTCTTGTAGTATTCTTTGAAACAACATGGTGGCATTAAACATGGGCACGGGCCCGGCACGACTCCGGCACGGCACGACGATCCACCTGTGGGCCGTGCCGTGAACACTTTTTGGAAATCGGCACGGGCACAACACGTAGGACGGCGGGCGGCATGGTTGCCGGCACGACCCGCCGGCACGGCCGGGCACGGCACGACACGAGCCCGCCCGGCACGGCCCGTGCCAAATTACCGTTGGAAACTAGCCGTTTTTGGCCGTTTTCCAACAGCTATAAACGGCTAGTTTCCCACCCTATTTCCCACCCAAATTCCCTATAAATACCTCATTTTTTCCTCCAAAATTTTTACAATTCAACAACTCATCTCTTCTCTCTTATTCTCTAATTTTCTTACTCTCAAATTCTCAATTCTCAAAGGAAAAATTGCGGAAAATAATACAACCTTTGGCCCGTTCTTTTTTAATAATACAACCTTTTGATTAATTCTTAATAATATAGCCTTTGGGGGGTGTCAATTTTAAACAAGACGTTAGCTGTTGGTAACCTGTTTTTGAAGGTAACCGTGACACATGTCATTATTTTATTGGTTTTTTAATATAATTAATAAATTAAATAATAATTATTATTAAAGAAATAAATTAAAAAAAAAAACCAAACCACCCAGCCACCACCACCTAGCCACCTCCTCTCCCCTCCCCCAAACTTACATGGCACCCTCGGGCCTCGACAGCGACGGTACAACCGGTGACCAACATCCTCACCGTTGCCTGACCACTTCCCCCCTTAACCCCGACCTTCCCTTTTCCTCCATCGCGACATCAGCCAGGCCAAACCCTAACCCCCTTTCCTTCCCAACCACCATAAAAACCACCCTAATCCACGCAGCTGCCACCA